TCTCTGTTTCTAATGTGTTTTAAACCAGGATTTATTGGCTATGCTTTGAAATAAACTGGCAAGAGTTATAGGTATGTGTAAGTATGTATCTGGTTGTACATCTAGACACTAATGTGAAGTACAAACATAGGCAAACATGTCAGCCTGTGTATGACATTGAAACAAGATGCCGGTGATTCAAAGAAAAGAACTTGGTTGAAAAGTCTTAATGATGAGCTCTGCCGTAGCTTGGACTGTTGTCAGAACACTGGCATCCCAGGTGTAACCATGGAGAGAAAGGCCAGTGCAACATTGACTGCAGCAGATACCACCTTAAGCTGGGGTTTGTGTGAACCCTGTTAGCCTTGAAATACACTGTCATCCTGAGTTGTTTTTAAAAATCAATTATTGAAAAGTTTGAAACTTAATTTTAAAACCCAGTAGAACTAGCCATTGGAAATGCTTGTTCTTTGCTCTTGAACTTTGTGTGTTATTTCAACTTGGACTGTGTCTCTGGTTGTTTTCAGAAGGCATTTTATGATGGCATGCGAGAGACACTAGAAAGGGATAGCTGACAAGGAAAAAATTAAAAATTGGATAAAAAGTAAATGAATAATGTCATATTACTAAAAAGATGAGAGGCTAATTTGTGCCGACTTTTTGCTAATTTTGTTCAAGCTTCAAAATGAGGAGCTGTCACCGTTCTGTGTAGCGCTGATGACAGTGCCAATGATCCATGAAATAAGCTGCCGCTGGCTTTGTTCTGATAAGAATGAACAAATCTGCACAATGTTCGGCTCCCAGAATCTCATTTTCATACTTGCATGCAGGCTAAAAGAAATAAGCTGTTTGCAGGCTTGATTAATCAGACATTGGAGGGTTTTTTGTCTCTTTGATCTCTTTCGTCTCCTAGGTAACTTGCTTGACATTAATGTTGAGCTTGAGTAAAGACAATCAGGAATTGTCGACCAAACTGATATAAAAATTAAAGACCTTAACACTTTAAGTACTCCAGTAATGGTTCCGCTTTACTTCAGAAAACATCTGTTTTCATTTAATTAAAGAACAAAAGAGAATGGCATAAATATTTTTCATAGAGACCTATTATTCTATAAAAAGTTAAAAGTATGATAATTGGTATTTTTAAATAAGTGCCTTAAAGTGTTCAAAGGGAGGCAAACTTCATAACTCTGTTACAAGCTAGTAATTTTGAGAGGACTAAAATATTTTATAAAATGGATAAGCAGTTTGTAGTTGTGCTAGATTAAGCTGTTGGAATCAGATGCTTCAAATGATTATCAGGAAACTTTATGACAACATTTGCAAGAGGCACTAACTTTATTTTGAAGTTTTTTAATCTGCACTGTTTATAAGCATGTGCCATTATATCTATTTTACGACCCAATATGATTTACACGCACTGAACCTATAAAATTGAAAGGAATTAAAAAAATGTCGTGGTGCATTTGCTTGAGGTTGTGCAGGCGCTTTTACAAATCTTCCAAGTGGCTGTAAAGATGAATGCCTCAAGGGTCCAGCCAGGGCCCTGCTTTTCCAACCAGCTAAAGCCCTTATCTTAAATCCAAGCAAAGTACCATTAATCTTTTTGAAAGACCTTTTATGGCTTTTAATATATCCCAAATTAGAACATTTTACACCCTTGGTTCCTGAAATATGGTGATAAAAAGCCTTTAGAGCTTAATTTTTCTTACCGCATGCTCTGACCAATTTGCAGTTCTTTGTGATAATGTTTAGACACCTTAATTAAAATGCAGCAAAATATTGGATGTTCTATATGGAAAATGCTGATACTCTGGCTACACATACAAGAAATTCCGTATATATTTTTATTCATTAAAAATGTCTTCTCACATTGTGTTACTATAGTTATCTGATGACCCCAAACTGTTTTTTTTTTTTTAATTTATTTTTCTTATTTAATATAAAAGCCATTGACCAAGCTTTTGGGATGTTTACATTGGGTAGGAAGATGCATTTTTTTTTTTATGTATAGACATGAAAGGGTGATTCTTGTCTGCCTATTTTATTTGTTTGTCATAGAGAAATACAGCACAATAGTCTTTTATATTCTGAAACTCAGGTTTGTCATCTTGACTGAAAAAAAATACATTATTTCTCAATTTCCTCTTCATTGAAGGCCTTATTATCCTTTGGTATTTCCAGATACCTTTGTTCTATTTCTTTCTCCACAGAAATAAGTGAAACATTCATTTAAGCATTCAACAGTCAAAAACTACTAAGAATTTTCATCATCATTACAAATAAGTTTTTTCTTTAAAAAAAAAAAAAAGTTCCACATACATAGAACAGCCTTGTTTTAATGTTTATTGGTTGAAGAACCATTCCATCTAACCCGACTCAGGGTCTAAAATAAGTAGATAAGTACACTCTCATAGGAGCATTGTCTGAAAGTGCTCCTGTGAACCTGGTAGTTTATTAACATAGTTCACAAAGTGATGGCATCCCCTGTGCAGTGTAAAGAATTCTTAAAAGATTATAGTGTGTATTGATAGTGGTCTCTGTAACTTTGCCATGGTACTGGTGGTTCTAGGCTTGGTTTTATTTTTAGCTTTGCAGGAACATTGGAAGCACTTCTATTTGGCTGTGGTTGGGGGGAGAGTCAGTCCATTGGAGCACCAAGGTGCTCGTTGTCTTGTCTGTTTTATTTCTGGGGAACTCAGATGAGAAACTTCATTTACAACAGTTTGGGGAAACAACTTTCATGGTGATGGCATAAACCAAATGTGTTCACATTATATTGTTTTTCATCCAAAGTAGAGGCTGAGTTTAAATATAATAAAAAGTAGCTGAGAGGTAAATAGGGATTTGATCTGGGGAAGTTAGTAACTGTGTCATATATCATTCTTTTATTTGGGTTGTAATGCATCAGAATGGAATTAACAGAGAAATACAGATATTCGGGGAATGGGGCAGGGAAGAGATTAAGTCATCCACGTGAATGTTGGCATCTTGCTGTGCATCTTAAACTTAGGTCACAAGTGGCTTTTTGTGACAGAAGACAGCTTCTTAGGCTCAAATAGTGCTCCCCATGTGTCCAGTCGTCACCCCCCCCCACACACACACATTCTCTTCCCAGTCCCCAGCGTTTAGCTGGAGCTATATGATTAACTCTGATCAGAAACAATGTCTGTATGTCTGTGTTGCTTTATGAGCCAGTGAGGGACCCTCTAGTTCTGCCTCATAAGGAGATCCTGCTACAATATGTGTGGGGCTCTGCTTGCCTGAATTTACTGGGGGGGGGGGTCCCAGGTATTTGAACTCAGGTCCTTTACACTTGTATAGAATCTCCCTGTCTAGTTCTTAGCCTTGGGGGAGGCATCAGAGAGGTTAACTTAGGTGACCTTTTCTGTGATAAAGACCTAGAAAAGCAGAGAGTTAACAGAACAGAACCAATGTGGAGGCAGCCATACTTCTCACCCATTGTGTGAAAGGGTGGCCTCTATGGCTTGGTGCTACGTTTCTTGTGACTGGCAGAAGCAAGCATCTGTGCCTTCATAAAGGTTCTGGAGGAAATGTTCTGGTGCAGTTGTGCAGCTAGCATTGGTTTGGATTTTGAGAAGATACTGAGGTTGCTTTATCAAGTGGGTTTTGGTCCTACTTGGTCCTTTCAGTGGCTTTACTGCTATTAACCATGTCAGCACCTTGGTTTGATCCTTTTTTCCAGAGGGAGGGCAGGGAAGGAGGGGGAGGGGGGCTGTTTCCTGAACTGAAAACTCAGGTCTGTTTTTCTCTAACTTGTAAATTCCAAACAAGTCTTGTCTGTTTTGCCCTAGAGGAGGTGTTGCCCAAGATCAGCTGAGAAATGTGTCAGGCATTACAGGCTGCATCTTCCTAAGTTGACTTCTTTCACATGAGCTCTTTACTTCCAACCATGCCTTCCTAGGCTGACAGCCAAGCAAATCTGTAAACCTCCGATTTTGATAGGCTGATTTGAATAGCTTCCTATGCTTCCTGTCCACCAGTCTGCCTGTCTAATATGTGTTTAGTTGAATGAAGAAGTAGAAATGCCAAGAAACATCAGAAAGGTTGACCACCTTTGTTGATTTAAAGCTTGCTTTGTTTTCCAGTGTCTAGCAATGCAGCCCTGAGTGGCATGGTGTTCATTATCACAGCACAGCTTTGTTTCCCTGGGCAGTATCCCTTTGCTGGGATTCCAGGTGTTCCCGCCCTACCCCTGACTTCAACTCAGTTCTTAATGGATCTGAGTCATACACATGGATGGATAGTTTACATTAAAGACCTCCTGAAACTTATGTACCAGCATTGCTGCTCTGGAGATGCTTCTTGGATGGGGTTGTGTTAAATGGGTCTTGTAGGGCCAGCAGTGAGCAGCCAGGGAAGCATGAGCAGAGCTGCTGCCTAGGGGACAGCTGAGTCCTGGCATCCAGCTTCTTTACTTTCTGACTCCCCTCATATTCTTTTCTCTCTCAGAGACTTAAAAGCTGTTGCCCATCACGCAGAGTGCATTTATGAAGCAGTAATTAGCTTCCCCATGTTTCATTAATCCCATCTGTGACTGCCAATCAGAACTTCTGATCAGCATGAGATAACTGGTGTGACCATACTGAGTTGCTGTAATTCTAGCCCAGAGCAAAGAAAGTTGATGTCTCTGTCAGTCGGTTTGCAGCCTTATCAGGGCAAATTCCTGTTCGGTCTATAGAATTGCTGAGATAGCTTGAAGGGCCTCATTACCACCTTTGTGGACCTCAAAGGGTCTGAGTTTGGGAAGGATTTCCATCCAAGAGATGGTGCAGCTGGGGTAGAGGACCTTTGAGTAGTGGAGGGAAATACAGGCAGTATCTATGTATTTGTTATGCTTTGTTCAAGGGGCCTGAACAAGTGATTTCTTATTTTTTAGACACAGCTACTGAACCATGTGCTCCCAATTTTTTTTGTACTATTATAATTCTTGCATTAGCTAGAATATTTCTTTTCACATATTTTTCCTTTTTTTTTTTTTTTTCTTCCATAATTCTTAGCTTGGTGTAAAAATTGCCAAAGCAATTGCCTGCCACAAGTTCGTTAAAGCCAAAAAGGAGGCTGAAAACTCACAGGCTGCTCGAAAGAAGAAGAAACTGGCGTGGGGGTAAGTTCTCTGTCCTGGGATGGAAGAGATGGCCCAACTTTTAGAAAGACTGGCGTTCAATTCCAAGCACAACTTGATGCTCACAACTGTGTGATTCCAGGGGATTTGATGCCCTCTTCTGGTTTCTGTGGGGACCACCAGGCATGCATATGGTAAACAGATATACTTGCAGGCAAAACACTCAGACACATAAAATAATAATGCTTAAAAATTGGGGGGGGGGGAAGAGTCATGATCCTAATTACTTGGTAGGAATTGCAAAAAGTGTGCTTATTCATTGAATCTAGTGTGTAGGTCACTTATCTAATGTTCTGTGTCTCAATGGAATGGTTTTGAGGCTGTAAGTATGGAGGCATGTCTTCAGCCTGTGGTGTTTGTGAAATTTATAGCATATTGGTCACTTACTAAGTACGTTATTTTAGTAGAGTATTTTATTTTAGGAATAAATTGAGATTTTTATGCTCTTTGTTTTAGGTTTGAAGCAAAGAAGAGATGGGAAACTAAAAGCAACATGGGATACATGTAGCCTTACAGAGTTCTTCAGGACATTTATTGATAGACTGCCATGCTTCATTTTCCAAAGAGTTTCCTGCCTAGGCAAAAAGTGTCAGAAAATTGATAAGGGTGGGAAAGATAACCCTGAAACTTGGGGGCTGATCACTAACTCTTCTCAGTCTTTTTCCTAAGAAGTTTGTGAAGTCAATGAACATTTTTATATTCGTGTGAAACTTTAAGCATATGTATAAGATAAAAGGATAGGGTTTTATTTATTTGTATAAGCCTGCAGTTTAAAATCAATTTTGTGTTTCATCTGTTTGGTCTATCATAGCCTGTGAGGTCCTTGTACTTGCTTATCTGTTCCTAGCATGGCTGTACTTTTTCTAGAATTGTGTTGTTCAGATTGGCTTTTGTTTATAATGGATTAGTCATAAATAGAAAAATTCTCAATTGTTACTGACTTTACAAATGGCTTTAATTACTTTAATGCTATAGAAATAATTATTGATTCTTTTTGGAGGCAGTAGAATTAGTGGTTTGCTGTCGCATAGTAAAAGCAATTGATTAATTTTGGGTAATGTTAATGGAAATAGTTACAGTAAAAAGTGGACATAATGTATCTGGAGAATGATTCAAATTGGGCTTTGCTTGAAAACATCTTTCTAAATATCTCTCAACCATGTCATTGTTTAAATTATGATTGTTTTCTGAAAAGGAAATGGTCTGATTGTGCTAATAGATAGTTATAACTCAGGATATCATAACTTTGGATTGTCTAACAGCTCATTTGTTTTTACCTCTTCCCCCACTACTTTTTAAATAGAATGAACTAATACCTGGGAAGTCATTGTCTTAGGTATGTGTTTTACAGTCCTAATGGGAAGAGGGTTTGAAAAGTCATTTGATAACTGGCAAGACTAAATGTGGACACTATGAAAAATGAGTCATGATTATAATTACATTATTTTTAGACTTAGCAGTAACAGTTTTATTAATTTATGGTGATATGTAAATTTTTTATATAAAGAATAAGTGAATAATTTGTTGCCAAGTGTCATTGTCCAAGTGTTGCTAGGTGTTGCACACCTTTAATACCAATACTTGGAGGCCGAGGCAGGTGAATCTTTGTGAGTTTGAGGCCAGCCTGGTCTCCAGAGTGAGTTCCAGGGCAGCCTGTCTCAAAACCCTGTCTCAAAAACAAACAAATAAAACAAACAAAAAAGGAGTTAAAATGTCATTTAGTTGAGAAAAACCATTGTACAAAGAAGCAAGATCTAAGAGATTGGATAACCACTGACTTGTCTTCATACCTTTAAAATGTTCCCGAGTACTGTGTGTGCACTTACAGGACCTGCTTCAGATTCCTAGTGAGTGAGTATGCTTGGCTGTATAGAAGTACTTTCTCCACCCACTACAGATAAGATGTGTCATCTTTGAGAAGGTTCCTAGAATGGATAGTCTCGTATGTAAGGCCTCAGAACACGCATTCTCCTTGGGCCTCTGCCTTAATTTTCTGTTTCCTAACACTGGCATAGGTCTGATGATTCCTGTTGGCATGTTTCCCTTCTCAGGTCTCGGCATCTTGTTTTCCATTTGGGTTAAATTGTGGACCCTCTCACTCAGTCTGATCAACAAAGCCCTCCTCATCCACACCAGAGCCAGCAGTTTACCTCTCGGGGCCTTCCTGGCTGTTTTTGATTTTTGTTCTTACGTCTATGGGGGCATTTTAACTGAGTGGAGGACAATCAGGAGGGAGGGTGGTCAGAGAAGAGGACTCATTTGGCGAGAGAAGTTACATCTCCCAACTCCCTACTCTTATGGCCATGGGGTGTTGAGAGTTTTAAAATTCACTGCTGTGGCCAGAAAGTAGGAGGGAAGGACTGGATGAGGAAGCAGAACAGTGCTTTTGCTTGTATCTGCTGCTCTCTATTTGGTATTGGTTTTGTTTGGGATCTTTAATTTAACTTAGATAACTTTATTCATTAGAACAATAAAATGGTAGCATTATTCCTAGAGTATCGGAGTTGCCCAAGGGGTGTAGTCACAGCCACATTGAAAGAAGAGTTCTTTGTGGACCAGTAAGTAATAATGGTGGTTCCTGAATCTTCAACTTGTTCATTTTCTACCTCCAGAATGCTTGAGTTAGGTTAGGGATGTGATTGTCAGTTACCGTTTAGTGAGATTAATATGTTTGAGGCCATTGGTATGACATTAATGTAACATGATTTATTGTCTAAGTACTTGAGGCCAGAACAGCTTACTAAAGAACAGTAATTTTGAGCTTTTACTGCACTGATTTTGAGGAGTAAAGTTGGTAGTGCATTCTTGTTTAGGAGCCCTCAGGATGTTTCTGATTTCAGCAGAGCATTCTATTTCTTTCACCAAAAGGAGAGTTTGAATGTGTAATCTCAAGCTTGCTATAATTAGTTCTGATGACAGTCAAATACCTCAGCCAAGACTATAAATCAGCAGTTAAATTCTTGATTTTTTGCAACTGATCGTAAATCTCAAGCTCTGTATTTTGGGGGCTGGCAGAGAAAGGAGGGGCAGGACTTGGACAGAAATAAAATGTCATTGGAACTATGGTAACAGCTGTAAACCTCACACTTAAAATCTGATTCCTCTTACACCTTTTGTCTAAACTATCTTTGAAGTCCTTTAGTAACTTAGATTATTAACAACCGATGAGAAAGTAAGTCCTTGTGTGCGTGCGTGCGTGCGTGCGTGCGTGCGTGCGTGCGGTGTACTACTGCACACCTGGGTGTTCTTTGGCGCTTTGCACCTCATTATGAACCTTGAGTGAGGCTGGAACCCATCAAGCCTCGCTCTCGTCTTTGCACCCCAGCACAGAGGTGATAGCCCTGCACATAGTCATGTTCCACTTCCTATTTGAGTTTTGCGGGTCCAAGCGCAGGTCCTCCTGCTGTGCAGCAAGTACTGTAAACCCTGAATCATCTATCTCCCCAGCCCAAGAAATTAAAATGCTTAAAATATGAATATATTACTTTCAAAATGTCTATACTCACTTTGTTAGGAAAAAATTGATGCAGGGAAAAATTAATATTGTGCATTTGGAAATCTATCTTAATAACTAAATAAATTATACAAGGCTGATTTTCAATCAGATGGCAAATGTATGGGTTTTTGTTGTTGTTTTGTTTTTGCTTTTGTTTTTTAAAACAGTAGAAAAGTTAGGGAAAATAAATTAATGTTATGTCCAGTGCCGTTTTGAGATGTGGTCATCGAATTCAGAACTTTTTGATACAATTCAAGTTTTTTTATGTGTTGGCAGAAGTTGTCTTTAGTTTTAGACTTTGGCAGGATTGTAAAAACAGTTTGCATGTCAATTTAATATTTTTTAAAGCCAGCTGTTTACTTGTTGGCTTAAAATTTACCCTCTAGTAAAGTCTTAGCTCTGACTTTGATAAAAATAAATAGCACTATTTAGACAAAATGTACACATGAACATCTTTATCCAAAGAAACAATGTAAATTGGTGTTTGTGGCTTTGGTGCCTTCTAATCTGGTAACAGGCCTGACAGTGTGCTATAAAGTTGGGGTCTTTACAGACTCAGGGCAACACATTTTATGTGCTTTACTGTTTGTGTTTGTGTATGTATGTGTGCGCACGTGTATATTCGTGTGTGTGTGTGTGTGAGTGTGCGTGCGTGTTCAGTTAGTCAGCTTGACTGAGGGTCTGTCGTTACTTCCTGAGTGCTCGATTACTGAAGGCTACCCTGGCTGCCTGACTTTTACATGCATTCTTGGGATCTGAACTGCAGGCTTCTAACTTGCAACACTGAACCGTATCTCCTAGGGTCACTTGATATACTTTCATTATGAATTAATCAGAACATGTCTTTAGTTTTCAAACTTAAATTAACTTTATGCTGGCAAGCACAGTGCTCTTAAGTTTCAGTGATATATCCGGTCATTTTATTAATGTGTATGTGTACCCTTCTGTGGTTTTAAGATTATTTTTGTTCTTTGACAGTTTCATATGTGTATACAACATATCTTGATCATATCTACCCCATCTCTCTCCTTCCATTCTCCAGCATGTCCCCCTCACCTTCATATTCATAAATATGATGATGATGATGATGATGATGATGACCTACTGAGTCTTATTAGTGCTGCCTAAACACATATGGGTATGATTCCTTCCATCAAAGCTTGGGTAACCCACAAATGTTCACTGCCCCCAAAGAAATGTCCTCATCCAGCAGCAATCACCTGCCAAAAGCTCTTCAGCTAGGGGTGGGACCTAATGAATTCCCATCTATGCTGAAATGTTGACTGGCTTGATCTTGTGCAGGCCTCATGGGTTCATATGTGCACTGGCCTTCAAGTCTAGAAGACAGCATGTTACAGCACTGCTGCCATTCCTCTTGACCTCATAAGATACTAAAGTAATCAACCATTTGCCACCTTGGACACTGAGTACTTCATAGGTTTTGATAAATATACAGAGCTGCATTCTTTAGTCTGTATCATGATATTTCTTCTCCACACCACCCACCTTGAAAGGAAAAACTCGTCACATACATGTCAGAAGTCAGCAGAGCGACTAGGGGAAGGATCCTGGACCTCAGTGACAATCAAGACAGTGTGGCAGGTTGTAGAGGCCGTGGAGAGACGCAGGAGCCGCTGCTCTTTGCTCTGGGGTTGGAATGAGGTTTGTTGCCTCTTTGCTACACTCCCGTCTGCTCACAGGTGAATGTTCTGCAGGTGGGTGTTGCTCTTGCCAGGGCGTCTAGAGCTACAGCAGTGCCCTCTTGAGTAGCTTTTTGCCTGCTGGCTTTGACGAATCTGTTCTCTAGAATCCAGCTACTGGCTCTGGTGGGGCAGTTTATGAAATGCCACAAAGTACCTTATGTTTCCAGAACTGCTTGTAAAATTAAGAATTAACGGAGACATAATTACATTTTACTGGTATTAGTAATCCCTTTTTAAATTCAAGAAAAAGCAGTAAAGTTTTCCAAGTGAGATGACATTTTCAAGCACTGGGTGGTTAGTGTGTGTCTTTTTTCCATTCAGATCAGCCTTCTCAGGGTGGTAATATTCAGGAATGAAAGGGAGGTTCAGGGGCAGTGCTTCCGCTTTTAAATGGTCCTGTGCCAGGTTTCTCTGTGTGTCTGGTACCACCTGAGCAATTGCCATCCGCCTCCTCCTGAGTTTGTGGGCCACCTCTTGTTAAATTGCCGTGAGGGGCTTGCTCAGTTACAGGTCTGGAATGAGGTAATCCGTCCCCACCTCTCATTCCTCAGGGTGTGTCTGTCCAGTTATTACTTGTTCATTGAACCTGGAGCTTCAGAAACCAACTACGGTACAAGCTGTAATTATTGATGTCTGTTTCATTTTCATCTGTAAGCTCTGGCATTTGATCAAGAAGTTAATATATCACTTTATCTCCAGGCTAAACGTCTCAGCTCTCGAGGTTTTATTATTTGATGGATAGCGTACAATTATGGCTGCCCAGAAAAAAGGAATTGTATTTATTTGTAAGGTGGATGATAATAGAAGTAGTTATGAATGTCACAGGCAGTGGCGGAACGATGAAGCTTTGAGTTCCTTTGAATTCCTACCCTATAACACCTGAGAAACATTTCCTGAGCACCTCCTCTCTTAGCTTTTGAAGTGATTCTGGTACAAACGCAACCTATCAGAAAATACTATAGACTAAATCTTAGCTAACTTAGCATTAGTGACTCAATGGCTTTGCTGAACACAGACAAATAGTCATGTGTGATAACTTAAGTGACCCAGGCCTTCAGATTATAGTTACTGGTTATCTGTCACATGTCCCCATTCCTAGCTGGGCAAGTGGCTGTAGTTTCTGTCTAGCTTTAATGACTGGTAGATCCGCTAGTGTTCATGGAGAATAGGTGTGTTGATCTTTCTCAGCTTCCTGTGCTCCATGTATTGGTGGATGTGACTGAGGAATGAACATGCTTCTTTGTACATTCCTTCATCATCTTAAGCTGGGAGTTTCTCTTTGATGGTATCAGCATGTTCCCTACATTAGAAAGGTTGTCTCGGTGCCTGTCCCTGTTAGGTATTGTCAGGAATGTGTTGTCCAAAAAACAGTAACTCAGGCACAGTAGGAATTGGCTTCTTGTTCACCTGAGGGACAAAGGCTGATTCTGCAACCAGGAACCTCTGCCCCGTGCAGTCCTTCAAAGATCAGTCTGCCAGCAACTTTCCTTCCACCTTTGCATAGGAGACCAAAGTGTCACCCCCTTAATCATTTGCAAGTTACAGGCCTGGCTGGGAAACAAATCCAGCTAATTCTGC